GATAATTTTGTGCCAGGAATTGGCATTTTGTCATCAGCAATGCAGCATTTTCCTTCTATTTCTGGGCAGGCAAGTGTTCTTGGGCTTTATAATAATAATATAAATGAGATGTATACTCATACGGCCTCAGATGTATAATGTATAATAATATATGTATAATGTGACTATAACAATCATAGACTGAAATTTAGCATGTAAGAGCTACAATAAGAGTGGCTGTGTAGAAAGTATGCCTTCTTTCCTAATGATTTTATTAATTTTCCCCCCCATAATTTCAATTTTAATAGGAAATTAAAGACGAGCTGGATTTAGTTTCCGACATGGGGAAAAAAACCATAAGTATTTTTTTTGCAACAAGGAACGAGTGCTCTTTGCAGGATATAAAAAAAAAAGATAGAAAATTTGGCAAAGCAGCCAAAGRATACAGAATTCCAAGAAACATCCTTGATGAGAGGATTCTAAAACAAATTGACTCAAGTAAGTGTATTACTTAAAAAAAACAATAAACAAAGTCCACCCATACTTGCAAGCTAATGATTGTGTGTAGTAAGATGGGTTTGGTATCCATTATATGGCAAATACACAACTTAAGATTTAATTTGCATATCACAAGCAACACAAGGTCTATAGAATAATAATGCTCCAGGCTTTCTTTTTTTATTAATTAGTGATTAGATGACGAATAATTGTATCAATGTAATAGATATAGTATTGAAACATAATGGTAATAGATATCAAATGCATATACATTATAACGATTTATGGTATTTTCCCGATAATGCAGAATGCGGAGTAATGGAAGCTCAATTGACACCAGAGGACAGGTATAAGTGTTCCACAATGGCAGAAGAAGAAGAGACTCTGTGTGAAGAAAGTGTTTCCCTYATTGAAGAAGTACAGCAGGATGTTTGGATGTTAGGTATATTTTAAACAAACATATTATATAAATTTTGATATGAAAATGTAATAATCATATGCATGAAACAACATAATGAGCATTCTATCACTGAGAACATTTGAAATAAATGTAGTGTCTGCCAAACTACTGACCTAGCCTCACAKTCTGTATCTGAGAAAGTTTTAAGGACACCAAAAGGCTTAAATTGATTGTTGAAGTGTGATTACTATGAATGGTTCCATATTTTTTGTTTAAAGCTGAAAATTTTGGATTGGAAAATGAGGAAGTTAAAGCAGGAACTCCAGAAAATGCATATTTCATACAGGTATTTATTT